TATTGTACATTTTCCGACAGAACAGACACCACTCTATTGAAAATATCCAATGTCTAACAGATTGCCTGTGAAGTGTAACTTCCAGGGCATAGACATTGTAGTAACACCGAAAATGAATATGGCGATTTATACGTGGTTTTCAGTACAAGGAAAATATAAAAATATTTTACAAACCACTTCAAGTCTAATTCTCGTGAAATCAGCAATTATCTTCGTATGATGAACTCTGTCTCAATACAGTGATTAAGGCGGAAAGAAGGGAATCAAAAAAAAGGAAGAACGTGACATGATATCTGACCAAGGGTAGTCCGACGACGTAGAGTACGAGTGATGGTTTGTTGTTTAACGCCGCACTCAGCAATCCTCGAGCTAGACGGCGGTCTGTGAATAATCAAGTCTGGACCAGACAATCCAGTGATTGACATCATGAACATCGATCGACACAATTGGGATACGATGACATGCATCAACCAAGTCAGTGAGTCGATCCTCTTAGTCGCCTCTTATGACAAGCATTGTTTGCTAAAAGACTAATTCCAACATGGATGTTAACTACGCCACTCGTGAAAATATCTCCTTTTTCCCGTCACTCGATGAGAGAAACATGGTATTTTAACTCGACACATGGAATATCGTATTTATTATACTTATTGTCTAGTCGTCTACTGGAAAATTAATTAGTTTGTTCTCTCTATCTAACACGCAGGAATGTCTCACCAACCTTGTAAATGCGACTTAATAAGTACTTCCGAGTTTGCAAAATCGTCAAAAATATCAGCTAAGTAATAAAAAAACATTTGAGGTCACTAAAACATTTTGTCATACATTTGAATATGATCATGTACAAAATTAACTTCAACAAAAAATATTCTTGAAAGCTGTTCGCAGCGAAGGAATACACGCTGCTCAAGTAACAAAAATGACCCTTTGCGAAACGAACAGTCTCGATTGACGAGTTAAATGATGAAAAATTTACAGACTGAGTTTATAACGAGACATTTTCAAGAGAATAACAGACGCCAAGGAGCGATATTAACTCCATAAATGAACATCAATTTTTTCCTTTGCCTTGTCAATGTGGAACTAACGTGAGAAGGAAGGCAACTGTTTGTGTACGGGCAAGAAATTACGATTAAGGGAGACAATGTACGGGGAGGTAACTCTTGTATGACAATAGTTCCGTCAAAGTGTTATGTTCACTGCAGTGAAATATCAAGCGTTACGTCCACTGCAATGAAAATAGTACTTTTCTCAACTGTCTGTCACACTGAAGTATATAATAGACATTTAATATCTATAAGGGTTATTTTACTCGAGTGAAATAACACTTTATGTTGAAACCACTTTCAGTCGGCCTGATTTACACTATGCTTCAGACTAAGACAGGTGCAAACAGTGAGAATACATTTGATTTTTGTTGCTTATTTCATCTCGTGATGTGAAAAAGTGAACATTTTAACTTGTGGGTTTGCCACTCGTGTAAATATCAATTTTGTCAGGTCACTCTTTGATTCCACACTGATGTGTGTATCCTGTAATGTGTGTCCGTAGGTAGGCTACAAACATAAACAAAACCAGACATGACTCCAGATCAATAACTGCACCTGTATCCTATTACTCAGTGGTTTAATGTTGAATATCCCATGCTATCTGTTACTCAGTGGTTGAATGCCGGATATCACATGCTATCTATTATTCAGTGGTATAATGTTGAATATCCCATGCTATCTGTTACTCAGTGGTTGAATGCCGGATATCACATGCTATCTATTATTCAGTGGTATAATGTTGAATATCACACACTATCTGTTACTCGGTGGTTTAATGTCGGATATCACATGGTATCTATTACTCAGTGGTTTAATGATGAATATCACTTGCTATCTATTACTCAGTGGTATAATGTTGAATATCACACACTATCTGTTACACAGTGGTTTAATGTCGGATATCACATGATATCTATCACTCAGTGGTTTAATGTTGAATATCACATGCTTTCTGTTACTCGGTGGTTGAATGCCGGATATCACATGCTATCTACTATTCAGTGGTGTAAAGGTGACTATCACACACTATCTGTTACTCGGTGGTTTAATGTCGGATATCACATGGTATCTATTACTCAGTGATTTAATGTTGAATATAACATGCTTTCTGTTACTCAGCGGTTTAATGTTGAATATCACATGCTTTCTGTTACTCAGTGGTTTAATATCGAATGTCACATGCCATCTATTACTCGGTGGATGAATGCCGAATATCACATGCTATCTACTATTTAGTGGTATAATGTTGAATATCACACACTATCTGTTACTCGGTGGTTTAATGTCGGATATCACATGGTATCTATTACTCGGTGGTTTAATGTCGGATATCACATGGTATCTATTACTCAGTGGTTTAATGTTGAATATTATATGCTATCTATTATTACTCAGTGATTTAATGTTGAATATGATAGCTATCTGTTACTCAGTGGTTTAATGTTGAATATCACTTGCTATCTATTACTCAGTGGAATAATGTTGAATATCACACTCTATCCGTTACTCGGTGGTTTAATGTCGGATATCACATGCTATCTATTACTCGGTGGTTTAATGTCGGATATCACATGGTATCTATTACAAAGTGGTTTAATGTTTAATATTATATGCTATCTATTACTCAGTGGTTTAATGTCGGATATCACATGGTATCTGTTACTCAGTGGTTTAATGTTGAATATCACTTGCTATCTATTACTCCGTGGTTTAATGTTGAATATCACAGACTATCTGTTACTCTGTGGTTTAATGTTGAATATCACATGCTTTCTGTTATTCAGTGGTTTAATGTCGGATATCACATGGTATCTATCACTCGGTGGTTTAATGTCGGATATCACATAGTATCTATTGCTCAGTGGTTTAATGTTGAATATCACTTGCTATCTATTACTCAGTGGTATAATGTTGAATATCACACACTATCTGTTACTTAGTGGTTTAATGTCGAATATCACATGGTATCTATTACTCGGTGGTTTAATGTCGGATATCACATGGTATCTTTTGCTCAGTGGTTTAATGTTGAATATCACATGCTTTCTGTTACTTAGTGGTTTAATGTTGAATATGACATGTTATTTATTACTCAGTTGTTTAATGTTGAATGTTACATGCTATCTATTACTCAGTGGTTTAATGTCGGATATCACACACTATCTATTACTCGGGGCTTTAATGTTGAATATCACATGCTATATATTAATCAGCTGATAAAGTAGAGTTCTTGTCTGAACTGTGTCTGCTTCTCAAGATCTGAAGTCTGTATCTTTATCGGCGATAATGTACATATATCTATGTACAGACATGCCAGGGATCAACCTGCAAGCCCGAGTACTAATGCAGAGAGGTGATAAGACCCATCCCTACATTCGATGCAGTGTTATGCGTACAGGTATATGTGGCTAAGTGAATCCATTGACATGAATGGGCATGATGTATATGTTGGTAATTATAGTCGCTGTATGAAGACGGGTAAAAGCTTATGAGGTATATACAAACTGTATACTATACTTGAGACATGTGATAATAGACGTTACCTAATGTTAGCAGAGTCACTGAAGTCTAGCTCAACTAGACCTTCTTGCATTTCAACTGACATACGTTTCATCTCACTTACCCAAGAATCGCACATGTAGGAGAAATGTACTGTAGCCCAGTGCTTATAATGTGGTCACTAGTTTCCTAACTAGTAGCCATATGTCCCAGTAGGAACGAAGAGGATTATGTAAGTAAATAAGTAGTTTCCTAACGTTCATACTCCATCCTATGGCGAATAGCGGAAGCAAAAACTATGTATTCCAGGTCTGTGATACAAAGGTGTCTTGCCACATTCCAAGTTCACAAAATGGTCGCTGCATGAATCACATTATTTTGGCACGCTGGTGTATGTATGTACTGATTGGTTTTTGAGACAGCTAATGTACTTTGTCAAAACGCATGGCTTACTGTGTGTCCATAGGTCATGACGTACAGTGAGTTAATGTGTAGATGGCATTAAAGAATTATACGTCTGTGTTGTTGGAAACTCGTGGTACTGTATTCAGAACTCAAGTAAATTATACCTTCAGGATAATTTTGCTTACACACTTTACAAAGTTGTATCCAGAATTTGTATATACGTACCTAAAGTTTTGTTCTACATTCGTAGCACACACATAATTTCAGTAATCCGAACGTGATATGCATTTACTGAATACATTTCATCTGCATATGTTTAAAAACGCAATTTCAAGCTGTGTTGCTAGAGGTGAGGTGAGGTGAAATTGGGTTTAACGTCGCGTCCAAGATTATGCACTTATATAGCGACGTGCATGCACGTGTATGTGTGTGTGTGGCTTCTTGTACTAGTCCGGACTGATGCCGATTTATAGTGCTAGCTCACTGAGATACATGCCGCAGTTTAACATGAATACCCCACTCAGACACAGTATACTGACTCCGTGCCGACCAGTCCTTGTTTTAGCCCCTTAATGCCGAGCGCCAGACAGGGTAACAACAAGTACAATCTTTTAACGTCTTTTTGTATGACGCGGCCCGGGATCGAACCCTGGACCTTCCGCTCTCCGGGCGGACGCTCTACCACTAGACCACGGAGGCGGTCTGTGTTGCTAGAAACACTCGCTCTGCTGTTGACTGTGAGGTGTATCACGTCCTTGGCCGCAATACAATTGATCTTTCACAGGCCTGAGTAAGTGAGTTTTGAACGTTTTTTTCAGATATATAACGGCGCGTCAGCTTGGTGTGAAAACAAAACCCGAAGTGCTGCAGGTCTTAGACATTTACAGCTTCAGTGAAAGCGTGGTATTGGTGTGGCGCTGACAAACAAGCATTGATGTCTAAGGGACGCAACTCTGCTTTATACAAAGCTGAAGAAAGACAATATGGGTTATATTTGTACTTGGAAACCCATTTACATATTTCTTGGACAAAATACAAAACAAGATATAGAAAACAACATTTATTACATTTCATAGTAAAGATAATCATGAATTAACAGTTGATATAATTTATTCGGCACCCATTCATTGTGTATACATACGTTCGTACAAGTGCAGACTGTGTCTAAATTGCGTACATTGACAACTAACATGCACTCGAGACTTGGGAAACAAGGTTGCAATGGATAAACATGGAAAGGCATAACAAGGAAATAAATATGCAACAACACACACGGAAAAGACAATCACAACATTAGTTAGGAGGTAAACACTGTCATAGACTTCAGATTGCTGTCATCTCGCCAATCAAATTATATAAATAACGTTATTTATAACATGCCAATAATCTCATATATTTAACTGTCTTAATCCTGTGTATTTACATATTTACAAACGGTTTACATACTAAAACGATGAATTATAAAGGAAGAGGTTATTTTCTCACATTATTTTATAGAATGCCCGATTTTGGAATGAGTGAGTGAGTGAGTGAGTGAGTGAGTGAGTGAGTTGGGTTTAACGCCGCTTTTAACATTATTCCAGTTATATCGCGGCGTGTCAGCTTAATGTGGGAGGAAAGCCCGAAGTGATGCAGGTCTCAGACGTTTACCACCTCGGTGAAACCCACGAGCACGGGTATGGTGCTGACAAACCTAGAAACATAATCGGGACGAACCGGGATTCGAACCCACAATCATAGGTTTCTGGCGTGCCCAAGGGACACTGCACAGCGAATCGCGGCGCCTTAGACGACTGGGCCACCCGTGCCCCCGATTTTGGAAAGAATAAAAGAAAAATATTTCATGGTTAAGAGCAGAGTTTTCTTTTACTTGTTACTACAGTTTATTTTTATAGTAAATCAAGTAATTGTCGAAATGGAATCCCCAGTTTGCCAGTGTCATAGGGAATATCGGTGAATGTTATCTATTCGTAACTGTGTTGGTCGGTGAGTTGTGTGTAAGTCTTGTACTATCATCAATCACATACCTAACCACCGTCGGGCATGAAATTATTTGACTGTTGCATTTTTGCTCGCCAAGACAGTGTTCAGTTTGATAAACCACTGACAAAGCACATAAAAAGGTTTGGGTGGACAATGCTCTTTTAGAAAGTTAACCGCATAACAACTGTGCAAATATACAAGCTTGCCTACACCGACTCCGCCTATCGTTGTTTTCTGTTGAAGTGCAAAGTTAATGTCAGTTTTATAAACCCTAAATCACAACGGGTTGGGTGCTATTGATCTTAGGAAATATTTATCCGCATGTTATAAATCATGGAACACGGCGAAATGACGTTGTTCACGCTGACCCCTAATACGCATGGAAAGAAACTTACAAGGGCGACTTCCTGTGGGATCCTATACTGTCAGGTGAAGTAATGTTATTGCGCTTTCCTGCTGAGTGAGAACCGCAGCACAGCCTCCACCCGTTAGCCTAACGACGAGATGTTTGCACAGAAAGTCGGTTATCTCTTTCGCTGGCTAAACACGCAGTTTCAAGACAACGTGACATCCTTACTCTACCGATGATAACAGAAGACAGGGAGTTTTATAATTCAGACACTAAAACTGGGATTTTCAACAATACTTGTTGAAGGGCCTGGGCTTGAGGCTAAATACATTTGAGCAAGGCAGTGTATGTTAGAAACATGTACCATGGACACTGGCAGTTATTACCACTCTGTGGATTTCAATCTCTCAAATCTACCGCAATGATTGAAGGTCAATTGATAGCTTTCCCGAGCTATCAAAAATTGCAAATTTATATTTAGAACACCAAACATGTACGTTTTGGCTAATACTATGTAACCGTATCAAATATAACATGCACTATCTGAAGCAAGGACACGTTATCAAATAAATAATGACAAATGCCATGTGAAGATATCTCATGACGATTTGACCTTGGAAACACCATTTGGCTCGACCTTGCCATTTTGATCGATTTTGACCTTGCTCTTCTCATCCTTAAGATACCCCACGCCTCTCGCGTGTGGTCCCATATTATCCTTAAAGATGAAGTCCCAGACAACCTTGCACCAGGACGTGTGGTAGGGAAGATGGTCATAAAACTCGCCCGCTATCTTCTTCACTTCCGGTAAGCGAGAGTACGGGATGTAAGGAAAATCATGGTGCTCAATATGATACCCAACATTAAATAGAACAAAGTTAAGTGGTCCATAGTACGAGTGAGTCGCCTGCCCTCCATTGAAGAGATAGTGTTCTGAGATAAAGTGCCCGGCAAGTGGATGAAGACCGAGCGCCATCAGTGTTCCAGCCAGGAGGTACACTAGGGCCTTAACGCCGAACACCTTCAGGATGAGGAGGTCAAACACTAATTGAACAGCAGTATTGATCATCTCCCATCCCGTCAGTGGCTTGGGGCTCTTGTAGAACGGCCTTATGGCATGGATAAGGGGATGGAGTAGCAGCCAGATCATCTTAGTGATTGGGTTTCTGAAGAGATAACTCTCAAGACGAGTTGGGATGTCTACGTCTTGGTACTCTTCGCCCAGGTAGCGGTGATGGTCGGAATGGTATTTCTTGTATGTTACGGCCATGGGAACCGCCATTGGCAAATTACACCATATACTGAGAATCCTATTGAGGGCCGGACGGCTGTGTCCAAAGGCAAGATTATGGCCAATCTCATGTATAGCACTTCCTAGAGAATGATTTAGAACGCCTCCGAAGCAGTACGCAAGGATCAAGATACTGGCCCAGTTAGCGTCCTGCAGAAGCCAACACATGAACAACTGGACGAATACTTCTACCGTGGTTATGTAGGCGATGTTGGGGTCGTAGCCCATGAGTTGTTTGATCTGCGGGTACTTCTTGAGGATCTGCTGCCTCCTCTCCGTGTGGGGCTCCTCGGTGAACTCCCAGTCTTCATCCTTCCCAGCTGCTCTGGCCGCTAAGCTCAAAAACTTGTGGAACCACTTCATGGCCGAATTAAGATGCGGGCTCTTCTGCAAATAAAGATAGATATATAGTGTGTCGTAAGACTATGTATATTTTGTCGTATACATCTGCTTGACAGGCGAAGTGATTCATGACACAAACTGAACAAGGTGTTTTACATAGATGTGAACAGTCTTTGACATGAATGGGTGATCACGTTTCGTCAGAAGACGTGAAGCCTCTGAATACATTACAAATCTCAATGCTAAAGATAGATGTAATGACTTGCTTCAGGAGTTCGGTATGTCAATTGTGTTTATTGATCATTACACTTCTAATTGATGGTTATTGACATCTACCTAATTACAATTGCGTGAATAGAGGTAAGTCCACTAATTACTTTAAACATAGATGTACAGCAGTACACACGGTCGTTACATGTACAGCAACACACACGGTCGTTACATGTACAGCAACACACACGGTCGTTACATGTACAGCAACACACACGGTCGTTACATGTACAGCAACAGTCACGGTCGTTACATGTACAGCAACACACACGGTCGTTACATGTACAGCAACACACACGGTCGTTACATGTACAGCGCCAGTCACGGTCGTTACATGTACAGCAACACACACGGTCGTTACATGTACAGCAACACACACGGTCGTTACATGTACAGCGCCAGTCACGGTCGTTACATGTACAGCAACACACACGGTCGTTACATGTACAGCAACACACACGGTCGTTACATGTACAGCGCCAGTCACGGTCGTTACATGTACAGCAACACACACGGTCGTTACATGTACAGCAACAGTCACGGTCGTTACATGTACAGCAACACTCACGATCGTTACATGTACAGCAACACACACGGTCGTTACATGTACAGCAACACTCACGGTCGTTACATGTACAGCAGTACACACGGTCGTTACATGTACAGCAACACTCACGATCGTTACATGTACAGCAACAGTCACGGTCGTTACATGTACAGCAACAGTCACGGTCGTTACATGTACAGCAACACACACGGTCGTTACATGTACAGCAACAGTCACGGTCGTTACATGTTCAGCAACACACACGATCGTTACATGTACAGCAACACACACGGTCGTTACATGTACAGCAACAGTCACGGTCGTTACATGTACAGCAACTCACACGGTCGTTACATGTACAGCAACACTCACGGTCGTTACATGTACAGCAACACACACGGTCGATACATGTACAGCAGTACACACGGTCGTTACATGTACAGCAACACACACGATCGTTACATGTACAGCAACAGTCACGGTCGTTACATGTACAGCGCCAGTCACGGTCGATACATGTACAGCAACACACACGGTCGTTACATGTACAGCAACACTCACGGTCGTTACATGTACAGCGCCAGTTACGGTCGTTACATGTACAGCAACAGTCACGGTCGTTACATGTACAGCAACACACACGGTCGTTACATGTACAGCAACAGTCACGGTCGTTACATGTACAGCAACACACACGGTCGTTACATGTACAGCAACACTCACGGTCGTTACATGTACAGCAACAGTCACGGTCGTTACATGTACAGCAACAGTCACGGTCGTTACATGTACAGCAACACTCACGATCGTTACATGTACAGCGCCAGTCACGGTCGATACATGTACAGCAACACACACGGTCGTTACATGTACAGCAACACTCACGATCGTTACATGAAGAGCGCCAGTCACGGTCGTTACATGTACAGCAACACTCACGATCGTTACATGTACAGCAACACTCACGATCGTTACATGTACAGCAACACTCACGGTCGTTACATGTACAGCGCCAGTCACGGTCGATACATGTACAGCAACACACACGGTCGTTACATGTACAGCAACACTCACGATCGTTACATGTACAGCGCCAGTCACGGTCGTTACATGTACAGCAACAGTCACGGTCGTTACATGTACAGCAACACACACGGTCGTTACATGTACAGCAACACTCACGGTCGTTACATGTACAGCAACACACACGGTCGTTACATGTACAGCAACAGTCACGGTCGTTACATGTACAGCAACAGTCACGGTCGTTACATGTACAGCAACAGTCACGGTCGTTACATGTACAGCAACACTCACGATCGTTACATGTACAGCGCCAGTCACGGTCGTTACATGTACAGCAACAGTCACGGTCGTTACATGTACAGCAACACTCACGGTCGTTACATGTTTAGCAACACTCACGGTCGTTACATGTACAGCAACAGTCACGGTCGTTACATGTACAGCAACACACACGGTCGTTACATGTACAGCAACACACACGGTCGTTACATGTACAGCAACAGTCACGGTCGTTACATGTACAGCAACACACACGGTCGTTACATGTACAGCAACAGTCACGGTCGTTACATGTACAGCGCCAATCACGGTCGTTACATGTACAGCAACAGTCACGGTCGTTACATGTACAGCAACACACACGGTCGTTACATGTACAGCAACACACACGGTCGTTACATGTACAGCAACAGTCACGGTCGTTACATGTACAGCGCCAGTCACGGTCGTTACATGTACAGCAACAGTCACGGTCGTTACATGTACAGCAACACACACGGTCGTTACATGTACAGCAACACACACGGTCGTTACATGTACAGCAACAGTCACGGTCGTTACATGTACAGCAACATACACGGTCGTTACATGTACAGCAACACAGACGGTCGTTACATGTACAGCAACAGTCACGGTCGTTACATGTACAGCAACAGTCACGGCCGTTACATGTACAGCAATACACACGGCCGTAGCAAAAGAAATGTTTGGGCTGGGACAATGAAACTGCCCTCCACAAAGCGAACATACTTCTTTAACGTTTTTCTTATAAGCAGCAGAAAATCTGCACTTGTACACAGCAGACGTAATTCAAAATGAACTTATCGTTTTTATTAGTTTGAACACAATCAGTAAATGCAATATCGTGTCACTGGATTTTCTGGTTCATCGGTCATTTGATTGTTTTGTTTCTTTACAGGCCGCGGTCGCATGGCGTCAGGCTACAAATACTTACTATTTTATGCAAATTGTGTGAATGGCGGTTGCTTTCGGTAAGACAGGACATGCTTACCCTTTTCGCAAACACCTGGTGTCATCACTGATTTTCAGTGACCGTTCATAGAACTTTCACAGCTATATTCTCCTTTACCCCAAATGGAATCTGTTTCGGTGGATAATCTAGACTGTTTATTCTCTTGCGTTGACAATCTATATTAACATGTACAGCAATGTACACAGTCGTTACCTGTATATTAATTGGTCGGTGGCCCAAGTCAACTTAGATTAAAGCAAATTATCTTGTGACATAATGTTTAAAGTAAGATAAATAAAAGATTTAATTATCAGGTATCTGTAAAGCCTCGTAACTGTAGAAGTAATTCCAAACTGCCCAACCCGTTGGCAAGTAACGATGACAGACCGACTCATGTATAATTGTAATTTCTATATTGTCTGTTGTACGATACCAATTAATCCTCATTCTCTTGAAGTATATCGGCCTTCGTTCCGCTTGACAGTTTCAATGATAATAAAGTAGTCCTGTGGGAGTTTTCCCACAATCTTCGTTGACTATTTCCATTGATCCGGCCCATGGCAACGTCCTTTCGACCGCACTAACCGCCGAATCGTGTATGCTGATTTACACCGCCGCTGGGGATGCATAGAACAGTATTTGTTCTAAGATTTACATTTGACTTCTGATTGAAACAAATGGGAGCAAACTCATTTTTGTATAAACAGGAGTATATTTAAAGCTCCGACCACAGTACATGTAAGAGAACAGCGCCAAAATGTCCGAAGTGGTGTCCGTTCATGCAAAATGTTATGATTTTAAGTTTACTCTTACCCCAACTCAACTATTGATATGATATGGAGAAAGCCGTGGACCTGTGATTCAAGGATCTTGAAATTGCGTTGACGATCTCGCTTGAAAATAAACATTATAAACGGTCAGGTGGTAAATTACTCATACCACGTGGAGACTATATATTATGAACGGTCAGGTGATAAATTACTCATACCATGTGGGGAATATGCATTACAGACGGTCAGATGGTAAATTACTCATACCATGTGGAGGCTACACATTATTAACAGTCAGGTGGTAAATTACTCATACCATGTGGAAACTATGCATTATAAACGGTCAGGTGATAAATTACTCATACCATGTGGAGAATATGCATTACAGACGGTCAGGTGGTAAATTACTCATGCCATGTGGAAACTATGCAGTACAGACGGTCAGGTGGTAAATTACTCATACCATGTGGAAACTATGCATTATAAACGGTCAGGTGATAAATTACTCATACCATGTGGAAACTATGCAGTACAGACGGTCAGATGGTAAATTACTCATACCATGTGGAGAATATACATTATAAACGATCAGATAGAAAATAACCCAAACTATCCAGCAGCTATAAAAATTATGACCCCATACCTCCCAATAATACATGATGACAGGTAATAAATCTTAGTATCTCACAAAGTGCTGAATAAATTAAATTTAGTTTTGTTTTACTTTGTACCAACGAAACGATACATGGATTAGTTTACAGTGCAACAATATAAGAAAACCGCTCCCTGTTCTCTCCCCCTCTTCCCTTCCCTTCCCCCCCCCCCCCCCCCCCCCCCCACCCCCACCCCCACCCCCACCACGCAAACCACACACAACAACAACAAAGGACAAAGAAACATTTAAAAAAGAAGGAAATTGAAACCAAATGCCTCACTGCGATCTGTGAATGTAAGGACTTGGACAATGTGGTTCGATAGGGTTAGCCAGTATTCCTGAATGTGGAAAGCCTCCACAGAGAGTGTGAAGCTGCTATGTCCGTCTTGTACAGACAAACTTGGGACGATCTTGGCCCAGAATGTGACCCCTCCCCCCCCCCCCCCCCCCCCTGATAACGGACGCTAATCAGCGTCTGGTTTACTCTTGACCAGGACATGATGCACCGTAACTGATAATGCTACC